AGGGCAGGCAGAAGAAGCAGGCTCCCCACTCACCAGAGAGCCCAACATGGGGCTCCATCCCAGGACTCAGGATCATGACCTGAGCCACCCAGGTGCCCCAGTTTAGAGAGGATCTTATCTAACAGCATTTTTGGTCCTGAAGTATCTTTGTTCCTTAACCCTTATTACCGTGATTCTCAAAATTGACGACTGTATAGACCAATTTCAAAAGGAAAAAAAATGCCTGTAATTCCCACATTATTAAATTAGTTTTATTGTCATTTAAATACACATAAACATGGGCGCCTGGGTGGCTCAGTCATTAAGCGTCTGCCTTCGGCTCAGGTCATGATCCCAAGGTCCTGGGATCAAGCCCCACATCGGGCTCCCTGCTCTGCGGGAAGCCTGCTTCTCCCTCTCCCATCCCCCTGCTTGTGTTCCCTCTCTTGCTGTGTCTCTCTCTGTCAAATAAATAAAATCTTAAATAAATAAATAAATATACATAAACATTAAAATATCAGTCTAAGCTCCTGCTCTGAGCTCTTAAAGAAATTTATAAATTCAGCATAGAATATTAGCAAAACTACAAAATTGCTATAGTTCAAATGAAAAATATTAGGAAGATGTTCATGAAGGTGGCATTTGAGCTGGTCTTTCAAGCATGAGTATAATGAGTAGTGAGTAAATAAGGATTGGGAGATAAGGCTCAGGCAAAGGAAAGAAAGTGAGTAGGCCCAGAGAAGTGACACTGCGCCGTGTGTGTGGCGCAGGAAACAGGTCCTTCAGGCTCTAGCGTATGGTGTGGGGGATATAGGTCTTATATTCTGTGGATAGATCGTGAGGGCCTTGAGTATTGAGCCAAAGACTTAAGGCCTCATTCTGTATGAATGAGAACCACTGAAGGCAGATGTGAGTAAAAGAGTAAGATGAGCCATGTTGTATTCTTGGAAGTTTTATCCGCAGCAATATTTAAGTAAGTTGACAGTGAAGAATGGGGGATTGAAAACCCAGCCAAGAAGTCAGCTCCATGAAGGCGGGGGACTTGGTTCAGTACCGTATCGCCGGTTCTAGAACATAGCGGGTCCTCCTTATGTGTGTGTTGGATGAATGTAGGATGCCTGAGTGAATGGGGGACATCCAGGTAGAAAAGGGTGAAAGATAAAGTCTGGATGAGGAGCTCAGAATACAAGTTGGTAGCTGAGAGAATGGATATGCCAGTTGTCCATAACGAAGTGAATCCCTAAGGGGTGTGTAAGATGCTAAAGGAGAGAGAGACGGTGAGCAGGTTAAGGGCGGAACCTTGATTAACTCCTACAGTTACAGCTAATGTGGAAAAGGGGGGAAACCGTGAAGGTAACAAGGAGAGATCAGAAAGGTGCATCAGGAGATGACAGTAGCCCAGCAGCCAAACCAGCAGGATTTGTGTGTGTCCGGCTTATAAATTTTTATTTTAAATTTTGAATTTGATTTTTTTTTAAGCAGACTTACTTTGAAGGATTCGTGGTTCTGATTTTCCTAGCATTAAAAATGATTTTAACAAGTGTGTAAGACTTAATATTGAGGGGATCAAGGTCAAACCAGGCAAGGAAAGTATATCCCAGAAGCATGCTGGATCTGGGGAAATTTCAGAATGATATTAACATATTTTGGAATTTAACACACATTTCTTTTAGACTTCTTGTTACTACATCTTTGAGCTAAATATATAAGTTTTAGCATGTTATATATAGTAGTTAAGCAACAGGATAATTATATCACAAAAATGTTTACTTTAGGGATTCATTTAATGTAGTGTCTCTATTAGTGGCCTACCCTAGGTTGCCAATCATATAAGTGATTATATTAAGTTTTATTTCTAGACAATTTTTGTGAAACTTCTTTTGCCTAAAGCAGGCACATGGTTCAGTTGTTTAAAAAAAATAAAAAAGACATAAGCTCAAAAACAGGCACTGGTTTCTTACTCCTTTATAGCTTTAAAAATCCTTCCGGGGCGCCTGGGTGGCTCAGTTGGTTGAGCGACTGCCTTCGGCTCGGGTCATGATCCTGGAGTCCCGGGATCGAGTCCCGCATCGGGCTCCCTGATCAGCGGGGAGTCTGTTTCTCCCTCTGACCCTCTTCCCTCTTGTGCTCTCTATCTCTCATTCTCTCTCTCTCAAATAAATAAATAAAATCTTCAAAAAAAAAAAAAAATCCTTCCGAATCGTCTTGACAAGAGTATTTACTACATCAGCTAGCAGTAGGACTTAACATTAAATTTTCATTTTGATTAACTTGACTGCAGTTGTTTCTTGGCTGCCTCTTTAGAGCCCACTGCAGAATAAAATTAAAACAGTTTTATGATATAGCAGTTTAGTTGCAGAAAACGACATTTTTCTTTTTCCCTGAATGGTGGTGTGTTTTCTCTCTGAGTTTCCTCACATACACCCCATGGCTCTGGTTTCTTCCCCTCTAATCCAGCTTTTAGAGTATTGACAGATCAATTTTCCTAAAGCAGAGCTTCGGCCAGTCTCTCATCCCAAACCTTTCTCTGGCCTCCATTGCCAGAGAATTAGGACCAGCCCAAAAGCTATATATTCCTCTTGACATTTTCTTGATCTTCTCTGCCAAAGTCTCCATCTCCACTCCAGATTCTTTATTCCTCTTGCCTAGCGCTAGTCATGTCCTCCTACCTTACATAAAATTACATGTGAATACATCTCACCAAGAGGATGTCAGCTTCTTGAATGCACGGGCCAAGCTCTCTCTTCATTTTCGCCCACTCCTCCATTGCTTGGTGCATGAAAGATCCTCCATAAATGTTTGCCAGTCTTCAGCATGGACGCATTAAATATGTGCAGTTCTTCGTAGATCACTTATTCCTCAATAAAGCTGTTTTTAGAAAAAGCTAAACAAATGAGATAAATGTTTTTTGGATAAATGAATGAAATAGACCTTAAAATGACAATCTTGCAAATTACTCTTCTTTCTCATGTACTGATCTTCTTACCCTTTACTTTTTCTTTTTTCCCATAGCACCTTTCACTTTTAGTGAGTTCATATTTTAATTCCTCATTTTTGTTGCTGATACTCTCTCCCTCCTTCCTTGAGTGAGACTTGGAGCTGAAGGTCAGTTAGTTTCTCTGTGTTTTTTGGGTTATGGTTGGCAGTTTTCAAGGCAAAACTCGGTGTGGTGTTGAAGAACAGGGGGAGACGTAGAGGGACCCCAAAGTCAGTTTCTGCTATGCAGCTTTAGGCACGTTTCCTAACTGCCCTGAAGTCATTTCCTCACCTGTAAGAGAACAATATAACCTAAATTACAATGTTTATAGAAGGATGGAATTCTAGGGACATAAAGCATGCAGTAAATAAAATTAATCGCTGACGTTTCCTGATCCCTCCTAACATCATATGACAGAAACATCCGCATTTCCCATCATTGTCACTGTGTATCTTCATGGCCGCTCTGGGAAGCGGGTACTGTTGTTGCCCCATCTCACGGGCTGAAAGGAAGGTTTCTGCCCAAGATTGCACAGTGATGGGGGGCAGAGCCTTGACTAGACCAAATCTCTTTGGACTTCATGGCCCGTGCTTGTAACCCCTGCTTGCTTGTCTCTGTGCCCTTCCCACCCTCCTACCTCCTGGTGGGGAGCCTCAGGGGAGGCCAGAGGATTTCTCCTTTGGAACAGCCCTTCCAGATCTTTCTTTCCGCTCCAACATGCTTGAGGGGGTGCAGAGCACTCATAAGTACCAGCAGCCTCCTCGGGAGGACTTTATGAACCTGTTCTCCCAAAGCGTGAGGGCAGGGGAGTCTGGTTTTGGAAGTTACCCCTGGGGAGTTGGACCTCTTATTCCTGCTAGGATACCTGTGCTTCCAGATCTGCTGCTTTTTCTCCCATCCCCCTCATCCCCACTCCTCATCTGTGTCTCCTGCGACCAAGATGAAGTATTCTTGCATTAAGACTGTTTTCAAGATTGTGGCCTTACTGGATTGGAAACAGATTTGATGGCTTATGATTATGATAACCAAATTGATCATTACAGCCTCCTCGACTTCTTTTGTATTGTAAAAGTACTGAAACTTTTTTAAGTGAACTATGAGTAAAACACCCAGTTAAATCACTGACTCTTTTGGTTATTGCAGTATAATCAACATCAGAAATAAGAAAGGCTGTTTTCTGGATAAAGAAATTAACCTTTTCAGATATTATCTGAGCATTGAAAATGACTAAACGACGATTAATGAGATGGGTCGTTTCAGCATCTAAAAAAAGGTCTTTTTAAGTTTCAGGGGATGGGTTTCTTTTTTGAAATAATTTACTTGTCATTGGTTCACATGTTAAAAATGGACCTCAGAAAATATCAAAATGAAAAAAATAATTTCATTTGCATGCTATAAAGCTTCATTATTTTTAATTGGGAAATTTGGTAGGGGGCCAGAAAGAACTGGCAAAACATACAAAATTTAAAAGGAGATACTGGCATTTAATTTCAAGTACTGTTTCAACAGAGAGGTTTATCATATATTTTTGGTAGTTGTATTTTAGTGATTAAGAGCGTAAGCCTTGGAATCAGTCTGACTTGGGCCTGAATCCTCACTTTCCTGCTTATTAAATCTGTGAGCTCAGACATATCACTTAACATTCTGAACCTTGATTCTTCCCACCTGTAACGAAGGAACAATACCTACCTCGTAATATTATTGCATCATATGAAATAATACATGCAGAGCATCTAGGTAGTACTAACATACTCTTGGCACGTAATAAATGTTTTATTATCCTTGAGTACAATCATTTAGATAAAATGAGGTTTTGAAAATGTCTTCACAGGTAAGTGGGAAACATTTTTAGGGAATCCTGTGTGCAATTGTCAACTTGTTGTAGAATGCCTTTTTAGTGCTAATTCGGAAGCACGCTTATGTCATCTTGGGATGACCTATCAATTTCTGCATTAGTGAAGTCTTAACTATTGAAATTTTATTGCAGAGTATGGAGCAAACAGATGCTAATTCTAGGTTTCTTACACTAAATTATCTTTTCTAGGAGAATGCATAGAAGGGCTGCGGGAAAACGAATACCTTCTGATTCACTCATGCCGTCAGTGGACCACCATCACTGCCCACAGCCTGGAGGAGGGACACTACGTCATTGGGCCAAAGATAGAGATTCCAGTACATTATGCAGGTACAACTCCCCTCAAGGGGCAAGAAAGGCAGAGGAAGGGACTTGAATATGCAAAATTTTTCCTCCTGAATGAGAAAATAAGACTTGTCTATAAACTAGAGTGTGATGACTTAGAAAAAGAAGAATCAAACACGTTTTTTGGTTATCTGTCAGTGAAAGCTCAGTGTCATTTTGTCATAGGTAATTTCTAATTAATGCATGTAGTTACGTGTGGATTCTTATCAGATATTTATAAAATGAACACTTTACAAACACAAAGAGTGTCTCTGTCGTCTTGGGATGGCAAGCAGTATCTGAGCTGCAGTGTCTGAATAACCCTGGGCACCACATTGGTGTTGCTTTTGGGAATGGCTTTACAAGATGCCATTTTGCCTGTGAGCATTGTGGTCTGGCTTTAAAAATAACAGATTGGAAGCTCAGATACCTGGCCATGGCCCTCTTTGCAACAAGGCACTTGGAATACAGGTAACTGAGATACCCTCACTGCTTTCGTTACTAAATCAGGGTGGGAGTGGCCATTTCGCCTCACTTTGAACACCATTCAGTTCAACAGTGCCACTGAGCCAACTTTTACTGAGTACGTCCTATGTGTCAGTGCTGTCTAGGAGTTCAGGATAACATCTAGTGGCTTGAATACAGTTTCAGCAGTGCTGGCTTATAAACGCAGTATAAAAAAAACCAAACATGTTATCCTATATTTGTATCTGTGGCTTATAGATCATTATGTAAAGGATCTTGATTTTTTTTTCTCTATAATTATTCTTATTAAAAAAAATTATAAGAAAGAATGTCTCTAGCCTGGAACTTTGTCCCCTAGAATTATATTTGCTGACCATAGGAGTCGCGTTCATGGAAAAAGGAGGAACATATAGCTGCAGAAAGTATTAAAACTGACAACTGTTGGATTGGGAATCAGGCCAAAGGGACCAGAGAACAAGACAAACCTTCTGGCCTGCCCAGTCTCTCCTGTCAGGGGGTCCCGTGACAGGTGAGATCTTTGCTATTTTTAGGAGGCCCAAACTCCCGGTGCCTGTCTTTTGTGGAAAACTGTAAAGGAAGGTGTAAGATTGTGCTTCATCATATATGCAATTTTACCGGATGTACCGTGTTCTTCTCGTAGTAGATTGAGTTTTTGGTCTTTCCCCTGACCCCACTATGAATAGCTTATCAATGCGGTCTTTGGTCCTTAGCTTAAATCTCCTTAGAGACTCCAAACTGCCACCAGACTCGTTGGCTTATTTCTCAAAACCCCTGGGGCTGGTTCCAATCGGCTTCTCTACACGTACCTTTTCTACTCTGGAGAGCGAACCTTCCATCTAGCGAGATGGGTTGCCTCACTGTTGGCTGGACATACTGGCTCCTTTTCCATTTACGCCATTCCCAGGCCGGCGTGGCCTTCCTCAGCCTTGCTCTTATTCGGGGCCTGTCCTTGTATCAGGAGGGTGCGGGCATCCCTGCTATGCCCGTGGAGTCTCCACGTGTATTTATGGTGTCTCACATTCATTTGGCACAGGCCCCCGTCTTCATTCAGTTACCTTTTCCTGGATAGACACATAACTTCACTTGCTCGTTGGGACTGTACATTCCTCAACAAGTGAGCCCAATTCTTTTTTATTTTAACTTTAAAAGAAAATTTAATTCTAGCGTGGTTAATATACAGTGTTATGTGAGTTTCAGGTGTGCAATATAGTGACTCAGCAATTCCATGTATGACTCAGTGCTCATCATGATAAGTGCGCTCTTCATCCCCTTCACCTGCGTCACCCACCCCCTCCCACCTCTCCTCTGGTGACCCGACTGCTTGTTCTCTATAGTTAAGACAGTGAGACCAATTCTCAAAAGCCTTTGTGAATCCTTTGGATCTATACACAAAAGATAGAATTCTTTATTGCTATAGATTCTTGATCTAGGGAACTCAAACTTGGCTACACATTGGAATGTCCTAGAGAGCTTTAAAAATGACCAGTGCCCAGATTCCATCTCCAGAGGTTCTGCTGTACCTAGTCTTGAGTGTGAGCTGGGCATCAGGATTTTAAATTATATAGTTAAATTATGCAGCCAGGGCTGGGACCCACTGTTCTGGGGTGCATATTCACAGTGTCAGAAGAAAAGATTTCCCCAAGAATTTGTGTTTTATTGTCTTGAACTTTTTTTTATTAACAGCCATTCAGCTTCCACTAGGAAGAAAGATACGGTATGTTCAACAGCTTACTCTTTATCTATAAGGAAGGTGATGGTACACTTAACAGGGAAACCGGACCCCAGAGGGGAGGTGGGTGGGGGGATGGATTAAACAAGTGAGGAGGAAAGGAGTGCACTTGTCATGATGAGCACTGGGTGATGTGTGGAAGTGTTGAATCACTAGATTGTATACCTGAAACTAATATAACGCCGTATGTTAACTATACTGGAATTAAAATAAAAAATTAAAAAGAAAAGAAAGTGATACTTTTTTTAAATGAAAATTTGAGGTGCCAAGACTAAAAGGAAACATGGACTCTAAGATCATACCACCTCACATGAAAGGAAAGAAAATATCTTAAAGGGAAAAAAACCTTGAAATAGGACTGTCTTAGTTCAGGCTGCTATAACAAATACCGTAGATGGGGGAGATTATAAACAGTTCATCTCGCACAGTTCTGGAGGCAGGAAGGATCCAGGGTCTGGTGAGGCTGGCTGCTTGGTTTGCAGGTGGTGGTCTTCTCGCTCCGTGCTCACTTGGTGGAGCGAGAATTCCACCTTCTCTCTCCTGCCTCTTCTGATAAGGGCACTAATCAATCCCATTCCTGAGGATTACTTTGTGATGGCTAGGACATTTGAAAGGAGGAGTGGTCCTTCTCTAAACCTCCCCACCCCCATCCTTGTTGCAGCTATTGATTTCTGTCTGATTCGATGTTTACCATGAAGGTGGTAGAACGGCCCATTTCTAACCAGACTCCGCTGTTAATTCCTTCCTTTGTCTTTGTACGGCAAGGAGAGCTTTTCCTTCTCTCCCATTTATTTATTTACTTACCTATTATGGAATTATGGATTGTTATGTCATTCTATTCCTGTCCTTATTTATTTGGATGTTCAGATTGTCCCAGACTTAGCCATTTGGGTCCAGCTGGCCCATGTATCTCTGTGACATGCTCTCCCTTCATTTTTCCAAGCAGCTCCTTCTTTTATGGCAGAGGTAGCAACCATTCTTTCCCTCAGGGCCCCTGCACTGTCCTGCTCCAGGCAACGCTCCTCACTCTGTGTAAATCGTGTCCCTTGGAGTTGTGTAGTGCACAGCCTGGGCAGCAGTATGCCGCTCTATTCATGTGTATTCCAGCATGTAAGAAAACTCAGCATTTTTAGGAAATCACAATTCAGAGCGCCTTTCCCATATTCTTCATCAGAAATTTTCATGAAATTCCTCATGTGAAAAGAAATAATTTCATAAAACTTTGAGAAAAGATAAATGTGACTTGAACTTCTTCTGAGAGCCATGCTCTGATATGGTGGTAATAAGAGTTGCCTTATTCTGAATTCTAAAATTGTTAGATGTGCTTTGGGAAAAAAAGAAAGACCTTCCCTCATTCTGGCAAAATAAGTTTTTCATTTTGGATAAGAAAGAGTTTTCTTGGTATAACAAACAATTGATTCCGAGAGAGAGAATGTGTTCAGTCAGCATCACATATTTTGCTAACAGTGGAAAAATCGCTCAAGAAAAATTGGCATAGTGTTGAGAAAAGCGATGGCTGCTTTCACACAAGTTTTACTCAGAAGGCATCACAAATAAATTGTTTCTAAACTTTCTAACTTTCCACTGCACCAAAAGGGCAAAGATTTCCTAAGGAACATACAATGAAGAACTCAGAATGTTTCTACATTCTGCATACTCAGACCATGTAAATTACTGCTTGGCACTTCATCAGAGACTGCTGCTCATTCACCCGGCATGCATTCCTCCCACTACACCCCCCACCCCCCGCCCCGTCTTTCCTGCTGACATACTAAACCAAAAACCAAATCTATTTAAAAAAATTTTTTTAAAGCCAAGTGCGACTTCATTATAGCCAAGATTTTCTAAAGATGAATGATTTTCACTTTACAATTCATGTTTCTGCTCATCAGATTCCTTTGTCTCTGCAGCTCTGAGGGGTCCATCAGGCAGACATAAGGTGGTTACTGTGGAAGCTCCTACCTCAGGATTCCTTATTTATGCCGACCCCTTCTAGGGCATTCAACCAAATTCAGTACTCACAATTTGACTTTTTTTTTTCCTCTAAAACTAATATAAACTTCAGGCTTCCCCAAAACCTGGATATGCGTGCCATTGCCTCTGGAATTTCATTTACCTTCCTACGCTCTGTGTTCCCAATCTATGGAAAGGAGATTTACTTAGGTGATGTCATGAAGATACTTTGTGATCTAACTTATGTCAGTGACTCAATGCCGTGCCCGGCATGTAATTGAGCACTAATCAGTGTTACCTCCTTGTTATCACCTCTCATGAGAGCCATCCCCAAAAAGCTATCTATAAAGACAAAGCTTGGAGAAACCAAATGGATCAGAATGGGATGTATCTGTGTGTCTCGGGTCCCCCCCATTTGAGAAGTAGTGGGATTCTGCCTGGGTTTATGAAAATCTAAATCATCTGATGGGACGCTTGCTGTCATCATGGGTGAACAGATTGCTACTGGAACATAAGCATCAGAGAGAAACGTCAGCCACGTTTGGCTTCTATTTTTAAATTCTCATCCTCCTGCAAATCCGGTGAATCTATAACAAGCAAAAATGATCTCAGTACTTCCTTACTAGCTACAGTATGTACAGAAATAAATTACACTGGAGCACAAGCTTAGTAGATTTGCTTATGAAGTCTGCAGGGCTCTTACTCAGCGAGCACCTGGATTTCTGTTGGCAGTCGCCTGTTTTTAAAAATGTGGGTGTGCAGTCTGTCTCTCAGGCAAAATTATAGTAATGTGGTATCTACATAACCTTGAAGTGTAATTACTGAACAAAAGGAAAGG